TAATGTACTAATAGTTTAAGGATTATAAACTAATTCACTAAATGTAACTATAACTCGTTATTAGGTAAAATGGATTATGCTCATTGTCTCACAAAATGTTTTTTGTTTATTACTTCCAAAGATTTCACAGATTACGATGTGGGACCGATCAAATTCACAATATTGGTTGCACCTTTTATCAGTCGTTGTTTGCTTCACCAAGCTATTTATGTTCACAAAACATCGATACCGAGCTTAGTCATCTATGGCGAAACAGATTCTGTTATCCCCCGAGGTGAGTAAACCATTCTTTACTGTGAAAACTTATTCTTACTGTAGACCACCCACCGTACCTTTTATTTCTTACCATCCTTAATCGATAATCAGTCCTATACATGAAAGTAATTAGCGCGGGAGTATTCTGATAACTATTCTGATGTAACTGTATTGCCGTTTAATATTGGCTAGTCAAAACCCAGGATATGAATCAATAAGGTGGTCAAATTTGACACAGGGATTAACCGTGTTAATCGAACGCGTCGGTAACTTCACTTATCTTGGAAGTCTGATCAAACTTAATGGGTTGGTGCCTGACAAAATCCCAGCACGGATTCAGAAAGCTCGTTTGGCTTTTGCCAACTTACTTCACCCTTGGCGAAGGCGAAATATCTGTCTATCAATTAAAGGACGAGTATACTGCATAGCAGTTCGTTCTGTTTTACTTAACGATTACGAAATGTGGCCATTAAGGAAGGGTAGAAGACACTCGTAAGTTACTAGTATTTGATCACAGATGTCTTAGGAATATTGCCAGCATTAGCTGGGATCATCGGGTAAATAATAATGAGGTTAGACACAGGGTACTAGGGAATCTGGGTAAATCAGTTGATGAGGTTGTCAATCTTCATCGACTGAGATTGTTGGGTCATGTGCTATGTATGCTTGAACACCGTTTACCACGACGCGCAATGCTGATTAGTGTTGTGGACAGTTGGAAGAAGGTTAGGAGCGGCCAAATGTAAACGTGGCATCAGTGTTTGAAGTCACTAACTTCTGGTCTCAACCATGTTTGTAGATACATACTGTTTGGACGGGGTCCACGCGACTATCGTAACCTGTGGTTGGAGACTGAGTGACATGGCCCAGAATCGATCACAATGGCGTATGTGTATGTGCTCTTTGTGTTCTCGTAAACCGTGAGACTACAATCGCTTTATATCTTAACGAACTAATTCTTTCTTCCTGTATTATATCCTCGTACACAATCTTTCTTTTATACATTACTATCATTGAAGTAACTAATTTTATGAATTTGGTGTTCATCTTTTCGTGTTAGTGAGTGAGGTATAGCAACTTGGACCGATGCATATAAGTGCCTGGTCTTGCAGTGTAGCTGACTGACGTGACTGGATGCTTGATATATCAAACTACGTTTCATTATCAAATCACACTAACTAAGTAATTCATAAGCTTTTGATTTCTTGGTAAAATACTAAGATAACAAAATTCTTAAAGAAGTTAGCCAAGCGTGCCCAGCAAATTTCTTTTACTTAAGCCTAGTACCCCATTTTAGCCAAAGGTCATCGATCGGCGATTTCCAAGCACCCCATCCCGACCTCTTTCTAGTTGTTGTCAAGTGTTATTCGTGGTCTCAATGTCTCCCTCCAACTCCTGGAGTCATGTGTTTTTTTGCTTACTCTTTCTTTTCTCCTTAGGAACTTAAGTTAGGGATTGCCTTGTGCTTAAGCCTAATGGTTTCTAAAGTGTATTTTCTATCCACCCTCATCATATTTTCTCTATTCCATTTTCACCTGGCATCTGGTTTGTGGTAGTGGTGGTAGTTTTTCAAGTTTCACTACCACACAATACAGGTGTTTTAACGTTAATGTTGTAAATTCTTGCTTTGATCTTCAGTAACAGTTGTTTTGAGTTTCAAATATGCCTCAGTTGTAGGAATGTTTCCCTTGCTTTCCTATTCATACCTTGATATCTACGTCAGATCTTCCATGTTTATAGATTATGCTACTCAGGTACGTAGACCCCCACTTCTTCCAGAGCTTCTCCACTAAGTGTGTTTTGTTTGCTGCTCGCTGAATTGTATTTCTGGATCTTTGCAAATACCTCTATCTGACCTCAGTACCTCAGCTGGCAGGCTGTCTGGTCCTGCTGCTTTTCCATCCTTGATTTGTTGATGCCGTTGCCGCTTTGCATTGTTAGTGGAGTATCATCTAAGTGAGTTGTGTATGTGATACTTGCATGTATGGTGGGTTCAGTTGGGCTAGTTTATTTAAGAGCTCTTCGAATTTTTCCACTAATCTGTTTCGCTGCTACTGAATCTTTGTGATTGGTTTTCCTTCTTTGTTCCTGACTGATAATTCTGGTCCCTCCAAGCTTCTTGATTTTATTTCTCTATTCTATACATTTCCGCCTGTCAGTTCTAGTGCTCTTTCTGACCCGTTTGCTCCTGTGTTTTCGGCCTTTGCCTTGGCTTTCTCTGCTCTTGTTCGGCTGTTGTTGACTACTGGCGTCTTCCTTATTCTAGTGCTTTTTACGGCCCAGCATTTGGCATTTTAAACTTATTGCTTTTCTAATCCTTTTCTAGTTGCTCTCCGTAGTACGTTCTTCTAGTAGATCCCGTAAGACTTGTAACTTGTTGCTGAGATTTATTCCAAATTCACTGAGCTTGTTAGCGTCTCGAAGAAAAGCCATATTAAACATTTTTATTCCTGCCTGACCGATCGTCCAATGTTTGTTCAGCTTCATTTTTAATTTGGTCACCACCATGTGATGGTCTGACGCTACATCAGCTCCTCTCTGTTCTAACGCATTCAATAGACCTTTTGAATTGTTTGTTTATGCCTCTATGATCATTCTAATTTTCCGTAGTGTGGTTCAGTGAAATTCATGTAACCTGCATGGATTTGTGATGGAAAACTCTACCGCTTAGCACCATATTTTTGAAATCATATAGGCCTACCAGTGTCTCCATTCTTGTTCTTATCTTCCAGTCAATGTCCCACCATAATGCGTTCAAACCTGATCCTTTCCATAAGTGTCTTTACTGAGATAAAACTACGTCTGGAAAAGATGATTGAAGAAGTTTCCGTTAATAATAAACGCTAATTGGACACTGATTATTTTCACAATTCCGTTCTCTTAAAGCTTCAGTAACATGACCCAAGTGAAAACTACCAAACTCCTTTTAAATATGTTTTATAATTTATCCAAAAATTGGAGTACTCTGGATACTCAGGTCAAAATATACACTCGTCGTAACTATCTTAAAGCCAATATTAGTCAAGGTAAATGAGTATTCACATTCCCAATACATACTGCCTAACCCAAAGTCTTAATTATCGAGATAAGTTTAAGGTGAAAACAAGTCAATCTTCCAAATGACTTTTAACATAAAATAAACGACTACTATTCTCCTGGCGCTTAATAATAAACCTGTGTGTAAACAGGAAGGAGTAATGAAGCGAGGAATAATCATGGTAGAGAAAACATTTTAGGTATCCCTTAATGCAATATTTAAGTTTTAAAGAGGATACTGTACCATACTTCTTGTTTTTTATGTTACATTTATCTACATCTAGTTTTGAAGTAAGTACTCTTAATTTGTGAATTCTTAAATATCTAACTTCGTCAGTTTAGATAATCAAATTGGTTGTATATCTAAATTAATAAGGGGTTTCTTATGTTAAACTTTCTTTGTATGTTTACAGAAATGTCTGAGGAAGCACTGGATGTATTCTTATCTGAACCAAAGGTATTTGTACATGACGGTGGTCATTACATTCCGACACACGCTGATGCAAAGAAAATATATACTGATATTGTTTCGAAATTTATCGAAAAGTAGATAAAACTTGCAGAATTCAGTTCCTGTCATCCTGCATTTGAAAACTCATTTTCTGTGAATTGATTTTTGTAACGCTGTAACAATTTGTTGTTAGTCTAGATAATTGATCATAAGTGGCGCATTTTTCAACATTTAAGAACCCAAATCAACTTATCAAAGCTGGCACCTGGTCAGACACCTTTGCAAGTGTTTTTGATCTGCTTCAGTACCTTAACAAATTAAGTCGGTGACCTGAGAGTACCGTAGAAGTAGATACTGGAGTAGGTAGATAAGGGTTCAGACGTTTAACCAAGGTGCTAAAATTTGAATGCTATAACCACTAGCCGATCTTGTCATCGAGTTAAGCAAGTCAGTTATCTGAGAGACCCATAGAAGTGCAAGTCGTCATACTCGACTCCGGAGAAAAAGTATAAACCACTTAATAAATGATTAACTTTGTGTCAAAAAATTGTAAACATTCTCACATTTCTGATTTAGGCGTTTAGAAAACCAATCATCTCTTCACGGTCCTTTAAAAGGACTATGTCAGAAAATCACGATGTGAAGAAACAATGCCAGATAAGGTATAGTCATCTTTATCAGTATATCTGTGACAGTTAACCACGACAATATAGCTTGTATTCAATCAGCTTTAAACTCTCCACTCTATGTCAAAATTATCCACTACTGAGATATCAACAATACAATAATAAGGGGTAGTGTGATCTGATTGTTAGATTAAAGCATATACATTATCGAACTTTTAATGTATGTGAAAAAGTTTACTCACTATTTCATTACTGCTGTATTATATCTCTTAGCTGTTGATAGAATGTTAGCACGAATCGACTGACTGTATTTCTAGAACTACATTTATTTTAACTCACTACTTCTGATGATTCAACCAGAGACTAATATAAATTTTCGACTCTACGAAGATAGCTCTTCATAGTTATGTTGTTACTTGAGTTACCTAGATTGCAATCTAGAGCTGTCAACTATGTGTTAATCATAGTGAAATTAATTATCTCATTATTTTCATGTTTAAACTTCATACTAGAGTTAATTCTTTCATTGTCTAATCATTTTCAATCTATCCCTAATGTTATTTATTGTCGATATTTCAAAAAAAATAATTACTGTAGTTAAACTATCATTTATCATAAACTTGTGTACAAATTTATTCTGGGAATTCATCGAAATGTTTGTCTTTTTCGTTCGCTATATCTATTTTTTCATTGATACATTGACAAATCTCTTTAAATAGGGTCTCAACCCCATTATTGCTATCAAAATAATCTAATAAAAGGAAAAAAACAAGATTAGTGGTAAATCACTTGTTAGCGGGACATAGACTAGATTAAAGCATGCTCAATGCATGATTGTTTTGGTGCACGCTGATTGGCTGATTCTTGTCCAATCAGCACTAGTCGATAGTCGGAGAATATTCTGGAGCCTTCTTATGTAAAAACTATAAATATACCGACGTTTTCCCCTATTGTGCTTCCTACTGGCTTCTGACTTGCTATTTGGAATATAATCTCTTTCCTGTTCAACCGTGTTCTGATTTGGGGACTTGTCGAGTGAATCGGTGTCCAAGAATACTAAGCAATAGGAATAGCTGGGCCATTAACCGTAAGAAGAAAGAGATTATAACATCACTTTAGATGTTTAAGCATAAGTGGTAAGAGGGTACTAAAAATTGATTTAAACCCTATAATCGTATAGGCCAAAATTATGTTTCCGCTAACATTTAAACAACTGTAATTCAATCTTTCGGTGTATGAAGACTTGTGTACCTATGGGGTATTGACTGTGACTCTGGTACTCTGCAATGAGGACTTAAGTCATCAAGGAGATGAAGTTTGTAACCAAATGTCCTCATTCACCACATTCCAGTACCAACGGTGTTGATTCATATAGACAGTGTTATACATTGAAGATGACTGTCATATCGTAGGACGAAAAACATAAAATTATGGTAAATATTTGTTTTGGAACGACTAGTCGAGCGAGGGATTCTCGTGAAATGAGTGTATTTGAAAAACAGTACAATGGTTTGTATTTTTTGTCGTGGTATGTCTAGACATTGATTATAAAAAGAGAATGCAGACAAATGCCATCTCTCTAGCGACATGTTATAAATGAACGATATCGAAATGTAAGTTCTTCATCTTATTTCACCTATAAGATCTGGCTAAGTTTTCTCAAAACACTTAGCTCGACTTAACTTTGTTTAAAATTTAGATACCTATAGTTCAAAGCTATAGAAATGTGTAGAAAAATTCCTTTTAGTTAACATATCTTTTTTAAAAATCCAGAACTCCCTATTAGACTGTATCGTTTTATTGAACCCAGTGGTTGTTTAGTTTCAACTGATAATTAATTTTGGAATGAAAGCTTCCACTTTGTCTTGATTAAAAATCATGGTTTGTGGATAAAATTAACTGATATGGTTCTGAAATAAATAGATATCCTTATGGTTCACAGTTGATAATGGAATTGTGTCTTTGTTGCTTGAAATTAATATATTTCTTGAGGTAGATTAGATGTACACAAAGTTTTTATTTATAATAAATGCTTTTTAGGTTTCCGCACTTGAAATCCACATAAACAGAAAAGTTTATTAGGACGCACGAATTAATTCACATAAATGAATTTAAACTTACATATAGAGTCTTTTGAATACTCCAAGATGTCTAGCGTTCTTAGATATGTTGGCCAAACATATTTAGCAAAATAATTTGGTGGGTCCGGTGTATTATATTTTCTTAGCCTAAAGGGAAATGCAATGATTTCATTTATTTAATAACCCTATACTGTTACACAACCAAAGCTTAAGTCGTCAAGTAGTTACAGAATTGTCAAGTACATGTCAACAAGAACACTACGAGATGGGGCATTTTTCATGAATTTATTGTAAATAAATATTGACAATTTTTTCCAATTTAGGCGCAATAGACCTCCTTAGGTTGTTAAATATCGAGATTCTCAAGCGTATCGTATGATAATTAAGTCTGTGCGAAATGTTACTTAATATTAATAAGAACCCTAATTGTGTTATAATCGGAGCCAATTTTACTATTGAGGATTCCTGAATTGTTGGCTGTTGATATCAAGAATATTATGATATTTTAACTTCGCAGATTCCTATCATATTCAAACAGTGATGTATGAAACAATATTCTTTTTCATAGACTATTCAATTCCCACAGCTATATCGAAAAAACAACCAATTTTAAGACGGGCACGTCGTTTAAAATCGTAGTATGTGAATTAAAGATTCTTTATGAAATAAAATAAAATTGTTAGTGCTGAAATGACTAATACACTATGTAAACGTTGAGAAGTTATGTAAGATAATTAAAACAGCCTAATAATCCAAATAAATACGGATGGCATTAGAGTGAGAGAAATAATCATGTCATCACAAATCAGTTCAAATACTAAATGAGAAACTATGTGTCAGTTTAGTTAAGTTCATTGTAAAATAGAAGTGTGGACTGAGTTCCAACCGGATTATTTTCGTTTGAGTGAACAACAGTGATACCAAAACAATCATCATGATGTGTCTATAATATCTCAATCAGTAGAAAATAAAATTTATGACATTTCGTGTCTCCAGTAAACACCACTTCAATTAATAAATAAAAAAGTGGCTAACACAGTGTCGAAATTTCCGTTTCCTACTCATGAACAATCTATCGAATGCTCAATTCATTCGAAGCTATCAAGTCGAACCCTAATAATGATAACGACAAACAATAACAATTATAGTACGAAGATATGAGGATAAAAATAATGGATATAATATGTGAACAAGGATTGTTTTAAGTTACAAAAATTTAGAAGTGGAAAGAATGCACAAAAAATAGTCAAGTTAGGTCATTACATAATATGATTTATTTTAAATAAAGCAAGAACAAATATTGGTGCAGAATAGTATGAATTCATATTATTTTGAGGTTTCTCGTCAGCTGCTTACAAACCAAAAAATGTGATAGAATTTTTACATTGAGATAGAGTGAAAACAAATGACATAGATGAGTGTAAATAACTGGGTTACAATAATAACTATATATATATATGCTAGAACAGGTCAGAGGTCAAAAGGAATTAATTCGAGTTGGGTGGTGTAATAATGGAATTGAATAATCATAAGATAGGTTACGTAATAATAATTAAATAGGATTTGAGAAGTTAAGATAATTTAGGAGGATCAGGTGGTGGAAATGCGTAAATAATAATGTGGTTTAAGAATTATATATTTTAAAATAAGTAAAAATAATAATATTAAAGGGTTACCAGGGTAGTGATAAGTTAATTAAAGTCACTTTTTGAATGCATAAGTCAGGTTTAAGTTTTTTGATCATAATGGCTTCAGCAAAACGGAGAGTGGTCGTACTTCTTTGTCTATTGATAATTTTGAAAGCATGCGGAATGTCGATGGTGTGCCCGGTGTCAAGTAGATGTCGAGCTATTGCACTGTTGAAAGCCCTGAGCATGTTCCAAAAAACTTGAGGCTGCGTAGGACCACGGCTGTATATATGTATGTATGCGTCCAATTCATGGTTTCTTATAAGTGCTTAAATTGGCAACAATTTGGTTCATTTTTTTTCTACGTAGTAAACGCTCAACTATTCAATCTATTGCCAATTCCCATTACAATTAGGTGGTTTGATGTCACATGAATTAGAAGTTCTTACAAAGTTTCACTTTGTTTTACGAGTACAACTTTCGATTTTCGAAGAAAAAATGTGATAGATTTTTGTGGCTCAATGTCTGACTTTAGTAAGATCGTATGATTGCTATCGAAATGTACATCCCAGCTACCCCGGTACATATTTATCGACTTAATTCACGTTAAATAATAACGGAATAAAATGTGTTAAATGGATTTCGAATTCGTATATTTCGCACACTCATTGATCCGAACAGACAATCTGAGAAACGTAGTGAAGGAGAAGCCAAACGAAATGATGTGCAGTAGAGAATGCGAGTGAACCAACTCGACTTGATATTTATATTCAGACAAAAATAAGTTACAAGCATGTGATGAAGAGGGTAAGCAATGAACACACAGACGATCACATGAAACCATTTAGGATTAACAAGCAAATAATCAACACGATCAAATGTGGCTTTAGAAGAATGACTAAGTTGGTCTTTCCAGAAGCTAGAATAGCCTATGTGGTCTTGACATAGTACCGGCCACAATAAGATCTTAGTATTAACCAACTACTTCAGGTAAGAAAGTATTAAGTTCCTTCCATAAGTAGTTTTTCACCAAGTACTGTGATCAGTCGGACAACGATTGGATGTGTTGATCATCGACTCCGTTCTCGTTTGAAACTTATCATCTGGGTACATTAATGACCTCTAACATGACTGATACCAGAACCTTTAAGTTTTAAGACTATGAAAATACTAGTTAGTTTTCTGTTTGAAAACTATAAGTTCAATGAATTCTTTGGGAAATTAGTATGCATTGTTCATTATTAATTGTATGTTGTGAGTTTATATGAACATTTGTCGACATTCGAACATATAGTTTTACGACTGGGGATAAACTCCGCGTTTTCAAGCCATCTAAGTATATCCTAGTCAGGAATCGCAGTCGTATTTCTGTTTACCTAGTCACTCAGCCGTAGGTACTTTGGAATAATTTCTGTTATAGAATCAATTGCAGGCATTTCTTTCGCTGTGTTGTAGTTTTCCTTCCATCATGACTGTTACCCACTTGACATGTCTGTAGTATGATGGAGTAGTGTTCCCCTCTTAGGAAACTTTACATTTTTGATGTACTCCGGTAAAAGCGACAAGGGACGAAGCATACTCTCCATCGTATATTTCGATGGCGTGAATAATGTTTACCGCTTCATTTTGGTCGGTTGGCGGGTGCAAGGTCGAAATCGCGAATGAGAGTGGGGTTTATCCTCACTTAAGTTTTACACAAATAGGACGCCGGATATATCGATATTTTGTATAAAAATTATACTTAAGTGATCTCAGTGATTAAAATTTAACGAATTCCAACAAATGGATATTTGGATCTTCTCATCCATCTTATCTATAGCCCCGTAGCCTGTTAAAAAAGACGTTTAATTATTCAATCAATTACTTTGGTTTGAATCTATCCCTAATTATTTTTAATGGTTAACAACACAAGTGACTATATGACAATATTCTAATTATACGTATACATTCCACTATCTAAATTTAATTATATTGGCTTTCAAATTTCTAATAAATAAAAACGATTAGTATACCTTTAACAGTAGTCAGATGTTTCATTTATTCACTGTATTCTTATTTAACAATAAGATCCGGGTACATATTAATGCTCATATTGTGAACACATTTCACATCTAATGACTTATTATATTATTATAAACAAGATCAGCATTTAAACACGATGGGTTTATAAACCCTAATAATCGTTGATAATTTTGATTATTTCCCTAAAGAATCTTGGACCAGTTTAAGAGACGAAACGTTGAGATTAATCAAATTTCAATCGCCTAGACTAATCAAGTGTAGTTTTTATGCAAATTTGTTCTAATGCCTACATACATATAAAAATCTATACACGACCGTCATCAGAATCCACAGTTACAAATCCATAATTATTGTGTTACAATGATTAAACTAAGGAATATTTGAATAGGTAAATCAAACAATGTTATTCGTTAAAACTGTAAACTTTTGCATTAGTTAAGATTTAAATATATCAGTAATACATCATTTGTAAATTTAAAAGTTTTTTGGGGAAAAAGGGGGTAGGAAAACTCATTCTACGATGTTACGTTACGATTGTTTACTTAAACACTTTATTTTTGAATATCCTATAGAGATTTTCAAACTCTGTACATCAGCCACACAACTTCTCAAGTTTCAAATGAAAAAAGAAGTGCCTGTCTGAACTCATTAGTCTAGAGCGTAAATATTTGACAAGCTACAGATAAAATAAACTACTTTCATCGTATTCCGCTATTACTGTTTTAGAGTTTTCAGTTCTTAATAAAATCCTTGCTTGTGTACTAATAACTATTTAATAGTTTTTGTGTGAAGTTCTGCTTATGTTGCTTGTGAATATTAGTAGTTAGTATTTTTACACATCTTAGTTGAATTTTATTGGTTCACTATTCAACAGTTTCATATTCATGTAGAAAACTTAAATAGGTATCATATTATTTATGCCTTCGTAAAATCGTATTTCATATACACTTTTGTTTAGTGGATATTCATACTTTTCACTGTGTTCATGTATACATAATCAGTTCAGAAGTTAATCTGATATACTTTATTCGGATGATTATATTATAATAACCACAAATTCTCTTTATTTGAATTCAGTCGTCTAGATGTTTTCGTATAAACCTTGTTAACTTGTCTGAGGTCATTTAAGTATCGAAAGATAACTATTCCTGAACTACGAATTAAGATCCCTGATTTGACTGGACATCAAGAACAATACTGCTCAAATAACATAATATCTGATGTTGAATATCAAAGCTTAACGAAATATCTATTGTTTGCATTTAAAATAAAAGCCGCATAAATTTGCTCTCTCATTTATGTATCCACTAAAAATGCATTAACTGTAACAATAGAACTTACTTTCGTCTCTGCAACATATTTTCATAAGTTATCTTCAGAAATATTCGCAAATCCATCATATTCCGAAGTTCTCTGTATTCAAAAAGATAAAATTTGTGATACAATTTCTCATGTATCGGAGTTTTTTAGACACTGCACGAATATATATACATATATTAAGGTGGCCTATGGGTGGATTAAAAGAAGGCTAGAGAAACTGGAATCAGGATACGGTATCATTTTGTGAGTTCATTGGCTGTTGACTGAATGGTATCAAGGGTTCCAGTATTTTTGCTCAGGGGTCACTTGACAGTTGTAATTAATGGATGGAGAACCTAAGTGTCAGTGTCGAAAGTCGGTGAACTTACGACAGATTTGTTTATACTTTACCTTCCTCTAAATCATGAATAGTGAGAACTGCTCATTAGTAACGTCTCTGACGGCGAGATTTGCTAATACTAGTTCCAGTCTCGTGGGAAGTATCACTTGTCCTTTGCTAACGAGCTCCAACAATTACAGAAAGTAGTCTCGAGGCTTCCAATGGATTATTTCTAACCAAGTAACATCGTTACATTATGTATACGATTTCAAGTTACTTAAGCTAGCGGTCGTATTGCGATTTGGTAGATAGAATTTAATCAGCAACCATAATACTGTTTATTACTAAAGGATCGATAAGAATAATGATTTTAGTCAGGGTATGTTTTCTGTTCTTTGAGTCATTCATAGGATGAAAATAATTTCTACATAAATGAAGACTCCGGACACCATTTAATACAATAAAAAACAATTGTCATTTTGAGTGCATATTTTTACAAACTTACATTTTATTCATTATCAGTATTCCTTCAATTAAAAGTATTCTGATTTTTTCTTCCAACACCTTTGCTTCAGACCATAATTTAATAAAAGTAATTATGCCTTCCCAGTTAATTGCTGATTCACCTTGAATAAAAATAAATCACAGGTTTGGCACTGAAATAACTCTTCCATGTTTTGAAAAAGCAGATTATTGTTAAGTAGGAAAAGAACTAATCGATATTAGGCTTTTTACCGTTGAATCTGTGATGGTAACCATCAAACAGGCTAATTGTTGTATATTCTGTTTCCTGGAGATGTTCTCTCCACTTGCTAATTAACTCAATTTTCTGTTTGTACGTATTTTATTATTATTATTATTACCCTCCTTACTATATGTAATCAGTGCTTTCCTCAATCCTTATGAACCATTGATAATACGCTATACCTCTGTTTCTTTTTATTTTGACTGGTCTAATGATCGATTACAAACGCCATGTACAATTAATATTGCTTCACATTCAGTGGATCGGTTGTAGTTTGACTGTAATAGAATTGTTTAGATATGAATTTAGTATGACTAAAATTAAAATTGAAGTCAGTGATTCATCAGAAACTGATGATATGTAATTATCTGAAATATATTACAGTGATCTGAAACTGCTTGCCCGTGTTCTGCTTTGCAAAGATGATAATAATGATAGTGAAATTGTTAAATGTTGAATGGATCTAAATACAAAAACTTTTTTGCTTTTATACTCAAAAGTCTTTTAAACGTTCCATATTATTGTGAATTACACCTTTGTATATTCCCATTAAGATTAACTTCCATATTAGTTTTTCTTTAAATTAGGATCTCAGCTCAAACATTCAGTTAATCTAATAACGATCTACGTTATTTTAAAACTATTCGACTGGTAACAATATAAACATTATAACCTTCTTATGCCAATTTCTGACTTCCTCCTTTATTAATAGATATGAAATCAATAAAATGATAACTTTCTGGATTTAATGAATGACTGTGAAAATAGAATTACTTACTTATACAGCGTACTAAATTAATTGATGTTGATATTACGTAACACTAAACAAATATACACTTTTTTAAAGTAAATACAACTACATAGTGTAGAATAATAGAAAATAATATTTCATTGATCCTACTCATCTAATACTGTAGTGAATAAGAACCTGAGTGGGAACAATTGGATGTATTTGACACGAAATTACAGAGCATCTCACTAAAATCTGAGAACCATATAGTAAGTAGTTAATTTGCAAAATATCAATCCATCGTCTCAAACTTCACTGTTCCTTTTGCAAATATCAGTCCATTGTCTCAGATTTCACTGTCCACGCATTCTCATATCAACTGTGTTCCGTATCCGTTCTTCCCTTATCGATCCTCTGCTGAAATACATTATGTGCCTGAGCGTTGTTATATACTACTTATATGGATATAAATAACCCACACCAGAATAGAGCTCAAAATTTTTTTAAATTTCAGTCAGTATCCTTTCATAAAAAGGAGTTCGTCTGTTAAACCCAAACTAACTCCAATAACTCAATATCTAATGATAAGTAAAAATTCATTCAATGAAGGGAGTATCTTGACAAAGGTGAATAACCTCATATAAATATTATAGGTTCTAAGTTTGTAATTATATTGTTTATTTCTTATAATATGAATTTTGATCTACTATTTTAATACATATTTAATTTTTTGTAAAAGATTCTATCACTAAATTAAATCGTTTTATGAATCAGTGAGATATGAACTTCTCATATAAAACCAAACTAAGGAATTATGTAACTCACAGTCGAAATTTGGTTCATTTGTAATAGGGTCTCGTATATGACGTTTATCGTTATGAGGCTGAAAATAAATAATTGTTTACAGTAAATAAAAATAAAATATTTGTATTATCGCAAAGAATAGAAAAATTAGATTGTCTAACGTTTCGTGTAAGCCACTTCTTCAGATAATATATAACCAAATAAAATTAACTCAGGTTTAAATAGATCTTAGTGTAATATTATCATTTTAAAAATACACCAAATATTGAATATGTTCTGACTGTGGCTAACAGTGAAATCAGAGACTTGCAATTCATCTTACTTCAAACTTGTATCATAGTGTTGGTGTTCATACTGAAGCTCAACCCCAGTACCTATTACCTCAAATGGAAAGAAGCTATTAATTAAAAATAATTGGACTCATCAGTTGCATTCGTCAATATCAATAATAAAAAAATTCAAACGATTACATACAAACAAAATGTTCATCTACAACAAGATTATTTGTAATCTATATAAAATGGTTTTCTAGACTATATACATATACATACATTCCCAATTTTGTTTATTGGTGGGTATCAACTGAATGCAAAATATATGTTCCGTTACACTTAGGAGTTACCAGTCAGGTGTACTTAATTACGCATGTTACTCCTCGTGGAGTAACAAAGGTCGCCCACCAGAATTCCCCCATCAAACTCTGTCCTGGACAATCCTTTCCATTTGTTTCGAATTGCTATTTGTTCTTTTGATGTTTGCCTCCATTTCCCGACGCAGAGTTCCTTGGTCTTCCTCTTTTCATTCCATCATGGAGATCCCGAGTCGGGGCTTGCCTTGATAATTTCCACAATTTATGTCCTACCCACCTCCAGCGTCTTTTCATAATTTCCTCTTCATCTGGAATCTGGTTTGTTCTCTCCAACAGTATGCTGTTACTGATGGTATCCGGTCAGCGGACACTGAGTATCTTGCGTAGACAATTGTTTCTAAATACTTGTACCTTTTTGACTATTGATGGTTGTGGTCGTTCTCGAATTTTCAGTTCCATATAGTAGAACTTTCTTGGTGTTCATATTAAAGATTCGGAATTTGATATTGGTTAACTGTTATTTTGAGTTCCAAATGTTATTCAGTCGTAGGGATGTTGTTCTTATTTTAGCAATCCTCGCCTTTATGTCTGCATCAGATCCTCCACGTCCATCGATGATGCTATCCAGTTACGTGAACATTTCCACCTCTCCCAGAGTTTCTCCAAGTGTGATTGCCTTGATGTTCTCTGTGCTGGGTTTGAGGGTCTTGTTTTTTCCTCTGTGTATGTTGAGGCCTACCGATGCCTAAGCTGCTGCTACACTGTTTGTCTTGACTCGCATTTTTTTATGCGTATGGGCTAGGAGGGCCAAATCGTCTAGTTGCATCCAAGCTATCTATTGTATTCCGTGCTTTCCCTCAGATGCGGAGGTCATCATAATTCAGTCAACCATCAGAAGAAAAAGAAAGGGAGAAAGTAAACAGCTTTGTCTGACTCCTTTCCTCACGTGAAATGTGTCTGTCAGCTGTCCTCCATGAACGGCTTTGCACTGTAGTCCATCGTATGAATTCCGTATGTTGACGATCTTTTTAGGTACACCATAGTGTTGAAGAAGGTTTCTACATGGTCCTCCTATTCACACTGTCAAACATCACTATACATTAACTCTCTTGACTATGAGAAAGCGAGTTCCAATCAACTGACTGTTCAACGATTATGCGTAATGTCGCAATTTGATCTATGCACGATTGATCCTTTTGGAATACGACCTGTTGATCTCGCAGCTGAACGTCTACTGAGTCTTTCATCTGGTTCAGCAACACTCTGTTGACAGTAGTGTGACATTTTCTAAAATTTGACTCAATCATTATCTGACAATAACGAATGAAGTCGGAAAATAGATAAGTTACCAGATACTGAATCAATGGTCTAGAGATATCATGGTCAATGTAAAATATTAAGGTCATGGACTCGACTCCTTGTGTTCATTTATAAGAAACCTTGATAAAAGATGTGTAAAAAATTCCACTGGTCTTTCATACTTTTCTGGTTGAGATCCCTTTTTATAAATGAAATATTTTTTTAAACTAAACTCATTTTTTACAAATTATCGAACTACATAATAATGTATATTACTATCCCATATTACTCCTAAGTGTCATATACGAATAAATTAGCAAAGTGAAATGAACTTTTATTTGGTTTACAAATTAAGATAATGTAACACTTAAATTTCTCACCCAGTAATAATCATCCATTTGTAAACATGTAACATTGTAGCCAATAGATTGTAGATATTCAGTAAGTTTTCCAGTCATCGTTGTTTTTCCAGAATTCGATGCCCTAGCAAACAAAGTATTTTAAGAAGGAAAAAATCATCCTGCTTTTCATTACATACAAAATGTTAAGAAATTTATGAATAACTGTGGTGTTTAAAATAGTTTTGTATTAATAATTATTTTAATTCATCAACTGAAAACAGAATGGGGACTTTATAAGATCTAAATGGTTCACATTTTTTTCATCATACGGATTAGAGTAAACCAGTTTCTAATTAAAGTTAGACGTATTTGATATTACCCACTGTCATATTACAAATCGTAAAAACAGAATTGCAGCTTTCGAATTTCAATATTATAGAATAGTCAAATAAAAATATATATACTGAATTATACAGAAATAAAATTTACTTTAAAATCCTTTCCGAACTACTCCTGGGAAGATATCAGTAATTAGAAATCCAACGTAAAATTTTATAACTGGCCCAACCATTTGTACAAGTTGTGCAGACAAACTAAGTAGTTACAATTTCATAGTTTAGATTATTACTCTAATCAGAAAAATGTTGAGTGACCTCAACTTGTCAAAGAGGTGACATGTTCTTTAGAAATTTTAAGTGAAAAACTTCTACACTGGATATTAAGCTGGTGCTACTCCTGAGATTCGAACACATAGTTCAGTATCATTACTAAAAATATCATTATTATTTTTATTATATTCCTTTGACAACCATCCATTAATAAAGGGAAACATTTGCATTTTAAGGCTCGTGAAATAGATACTCATGACTGTCAGTTCTACAGTGATCAAGTGAATGTCTATTAATATTTGGGACTGAAACTAAAGAGTTTTTGTTCCTAGAAATATGAAGCTGTCTACTAGTTTTCTTTATCATTTCTAAAGTGATTAGTATTACTTGTCACTATCCTAACATTTTGAACTAGAAGTTGACACTAACATTTAAAATCATAGTTTTCGGTGTAATAACCAGTTAATAAGTGATAAAACATTATTATGTTGTCAAAATTTAAGTGTTGACCTAATTTTATCTGAATGATGGTTACTGATCCAAATAATTCAATGTCACAGTACGGTTGGCAGACCTCCTCTTGGTAAATTTTATGCATAAATTTAAAACATGTAACCATGACTTGTCATACACCGTTAGCCACTGAATATGATGCTCATTAGATTTAAATGTTGACTGAGTTGGGAGCGTATTAAAAATCCATTAAATGCTCCTGGTAAATCTTGACTACAAAGAAATCTATACTAAACATTCAATTACTCAACAACACTAAACTTTTATCAAAAATGGTCATAGTCCATTTCAGTAAGGAGTCCTAATTTATTGTCATTTTTTTCAAGTACCATCCATAAAGTTTTCCCTCGAAGTAATGATTATGGAAAATACAACTGTTAGTTCATTGATAAAAAAATTCATGAAGTGTTAGAGTAATTACCCCGCTATTCCGATAACGTACTGTTTTGTTAATGTGTTCATCTATAATAGTTAAAAAGAAAAACATGGAATTTAATTTTTAATATTACTAAGGTTTGCGTATTGACAGAAAAAACTTGAAATAATAATTTTTTTTTTAATTCACTAATAAGAGTTAGACAGTAAGGAACCCAGATAAAAGTTAAACATTATTACAGCTCGCTGAAAAGTAATTAATATAAAGATATCTGATTTTCAATACTGGCAAAGTCCAATCGAAATCTGTAATAAGGTAACAGAACCCGTTTTTACAACGCTGAGAAGAAATTCGTTAGATGTTAAATGATCAGTGATAATCACTAGGAAACTTGACTTAGATTTCGTGTGTATTTCTTAACATAAAAACATATTGCTTGTGTACGTGAATGCCAAGATTCAGGTATTTGTATCAAGATATAGTCAGATGCTACATTATTAACAATATAATAAAGTTGTATTAATTACTATTTCAATAACGAGAATGTGATAATTATTTATTGTTATTACGTCATTATATATGCAACTACTTTGACATTTTACAAGCTTAATTAAATTATTGGATATAAAGACATTATTGACAACAGACAAATAAATTTTATTAATCACTCAATGAACAAATCTCTAATCTTAGTGATTATTGTCAATATTTTTTACGGTCTTAGTACTGCCTAACTCTATTGATGTTCAATTGTTTTCTTCTCGTAACAACTCACATTCATGTTTATGATCTTGTCACGAAATTCAGACAACCATACTCTTGAACTGTTTACTTTCTCGTCATATAAATGTTCAGTTTTCGATCAGTAATATTTGCTTTCTAATTTTGACATTGATTTCCACAGCCGTAGTCAGCAGATTATTCAAAATAATGAAATTATAGGGAACATTAAAAATAATCTCAAAATCATAAATATTGCTTTGTAACTGCTATCATAAGATACATGTAAACACTCCTATTTAATCAGTGAGCTTTATTCTTGTAAAATGAATATGATGCTGAGTAGTGCGTTTGGTGTCAGTTTAGTCTATAATAGTTCCAAACCAGTATAACTAAGTTACACAAATTAGTTTCGTGACCAGAGACAACTGATAAATGATAACTTACTGATGATCAAATTATCAGTCTTCTTATATTCATTTGACCATCTTTAAAGGGGTAAACTTTACAAAATTATAACTGGCTGTCTGGAAGGAGTGACCAAATATCGAAACATACTTGGCTTGTTGTATCTGATTCATGGTATGCAATTTATAAAACGTTTTCAGTTTCCTATCGTATTCCAAATAACTTGAGCCATAGGAATAAAGTTTAATAACTTACGCATTCGAAAAATAGTACATTCAACCACTTTTCCAAACTTAACATTGATAATGATCAAAACAATGCTAATCAAGCCGCTTTGTTTAGTCTGTTTCCCTTTACTTCCATCGATGTTGGTAATACGTCTAAAGCTTAATTTGTTCAATTATTGAAGCACTAAATATAAACATTGTGCTTCTACATTTCACGGTATTGTTACTAAAATAACTCAGTTATGGATTTTTACCAATTTTTCTTGCACTCACATAACTTACACCAAATTTTTTACAACTGACTACCATACGGCATATATTATCGTACTTAAACTACCTAAAATAAGGATTAGGGGACTACTGGAAACCAGGAGGCACTAAAGAGGTATTTCATCCTAAAATTAAGCTTTAGTCAGTACATAAATGAGACCCTACACGAGATAGAATTCAGTAACTTAAGTTTTCGTGTCAGTCAACGAGTTGGTACTTAATGGTTCATATTTTAAATTCTATTTGATTCATTGTCAGTCACATTATCAAATAATTTTATTGACAGCTTAGTTCCTGTGCAATATAATTACATTTTCATTTTTACATCATAAAATCATCTATATATTTAAAAAAAATAACTCACCGTAGAATAAAGCACAAAATTATTTATTTACCCGCCAATGGATAATGCTTATAAATGGGTATATTATTACTCGACAATAATATGAATGTATTGTGTGATAAATTTACTAGAATGTTTTATTTTATTGAACAAATAGTCTCTATTATAGACCAAAAGGAGTCAGTCCACTTAACTAACCAATTGATTTCAAAGGTCAAATGTGTGATATATTTATACAAATCCAAATCTTAGGCATGTGATAACCTTGAATGCATTCAGATAAACGTTTGTCTAGTTACCACTTTATGCTTTAATAATAATGTCAGTCATATTGTAACTAAGTACACTGGAGATTAGTAAAACATTATTTACGTGATAAAATTCGAAACAAATATTATAAAAAATTATTGTGTACAGCCATTAAGCAATTATAATCTTAGTATATAAAATAAAAATGCTGTTCAATTAAAAAAACAATATTTTTATTTCCAGAAACACTGCAAACTATCTCAAATCTCACTCTGTCAACTTCCAGTTCCGATTGTCAAACTGTTGTCATTTCACTCATTACTATCGATGTAAATGCATCTTAAGCGCCTACTGATACGTCAAATCAACTTTTTGGTTCCTCCCTATTCCAAATTTTTTCATACATGGTGCTCTGCCGATTCACTCATTACAAAATCCACCTTCATTCTACAATCACACCTAGTAGAAGCGGAAAGTTACATATAATTAACTGGATAATGAGTCCAGTTATTATAGATCCAATATGAATTTATGTGGGGATCAATAGCATTTTCTAGATTAATGTCGTTTGTCGATTACTTCTTCAAGTCCAGTAGTTCAACCTAAGCTATTCTATTCTGTTGACCTAAGGAATTCACTGCAGTTTTTGGTATTTTGATCTGATGAAATTTGCTTATTTATACTAGATTTAAAATTTTAACACTTTTTCTGTAAACCGTACTGGAAAAGCTTTGCTTTCTATATTCTTGATAAAACAATCATTTGCCCATGACATGAATTTAAAAGTCTTGATTATTGTAAGAAAGTTGGTTTAATATTTTTTGAGCTATTTGTTAATTTTTATTACAAAGAACGTCTACTGAACATTGTATAATCAAACCTTAGGAAATCTTCTTTGTGGAAAGGAATATTTTTACTGAAAATGTAATCTATCTGAATTTGTCTTTCGCTTACTTCTTTTACATTTGATTATGTCACAAAATGATAATATTCAAAAAGACGAACAAAATGAATAGGTTTGTGCCGGTAACAGACGGCAAAGAAGACAATGTAAATTTTCGAGAATTGTAACTAACTTCGAATTACGTCATTCAAAATCTTTAGTTATTGATTTCTAGCATCCTAAAGACTTTAACTAGATTGTCTATATCACACAAGCATTTTGTGGCCTTATTAACAAACACTGTATCTAAATAATGTTGTAAATGAGTATTTTATATTTCTGATTTTTTAGTTTCTCTGAACTTATTGAAAACTATAGTAACAAGAATGAGTATGTATATTGATTTGATGGGAAGCAAAGATTATAACCAAAAATCAATTAATATGAAATTCGAACAATCTGAAGTTCTCATCAGGTTCTACAATTTTAAATCCAGATTAATAATCCATAAAATTGACCAGATTTAAGGCAAAATACATCATTTGGAAATTGTAATATGTGAATCAGGAATTGTTTGTTTTATAAATAAAATCGTTAATGTTGGGGCTGACTAATATGAAGTGTTAACTTGAATCAGTTTATAAGCGAAATGAAATTGAGATAAATTATCAGAATAAATATGGTCAACATGGGGTAAGAGAGCGAGCGAGCGAGAGAATATTGTGATTACAAATCGGAAATTGCGTAATATGTAAAATAATTAGGTCAAATATAGTAGATTCAGGGGTGGATATTGAATAAATTCCTCAAAAAGGGGTTATCAAGTGTGAAGACAATAATAGTAATAATAATAATAATAATAACAGTGATAATAATAATAATAATAAGTTTGGGACATAAAATGAACATTAATCAGATTATGTCACCACATTATAAGATTGACTATTAGCTAGTTGGCCAGGGTAAAAGGAGTGGCTGAACATACTTCTTTTGGATATAAAGCTCTGGCTTTTTGATCCGAATAGCAATTGCTTCAGCCGTCTGTAGGATTCGCAGCCTGACGGAATTAGGTAGACTGCTGTGGACACGATAGATTATTGCAAAAGATTGCTCCATGTTTGCTGTATGTCCTGTTTGGATTAAATGGTCTAAGATGGAGCTATTAACGGTTTTGACAACAGCTTTACTTAACCACATGGGTAGGTGCTCACGAGCCCGAATGTACAAATTCCTAGAACATCTGCCAATATAACTTGCTCCACAGGAGCAGTTGAATCGATAGATACAGAAGGAGGTGGCTAGTCTAGGTAATTTATCTTTCAACCTTGGAGTGATTATTGGTTGTATGGAGAATACTAGTTGTAGTTTAGCTGCATTAAAAGTCCTTTGAATTGATCTACTTAACTTAGTTCTTAACATTTCACTCGGCGCGTCGCCTCTGAATTGTAAGCGTATATATAGAGGCTTTTTATTTACCGTTGGGCATTCTCTACACTGTCTTGTATTGGCTAAGTTTTTATTTATACATTTCTCCGGATATCCATTTTCCTTCAGGGTTGTAAACAATGTCTTTTTTCATCTTCAATCGTATCCATAGTACATATAGTCTTGATTCTATGATGTAGTGTCTTGATAAGCTTCCTTTTTTGTTGTAGAGGAACGAAACTGAGAAAGTTAGTATATTGACCCGTCCAGGTCATTTTCCTGTTTATATTTCATTTTAGCGATCCATCTTTTCTCCTTGTAAGCAGAACATCTGGGAAGGCTATTTTACCCCCATTTATTCAATATCCACCCCTGAATCTACTATATTTGACCTAATTATTTTACATATTACGCAATTTCCGATTTGTAATCACAATATTCTCTCGCTCGCTCGCTCTCTTACCCCATGTTGACCATATTTATTCTGATAATTTATCTCAATTTCATTTCGCTTATAAACTGATTCAAGTTAACACTTCATATTAGTCAGCCCCAACATTA